ATGATTATTATCAGGTTTATGGGTGAATACGGATGAAGAGTCAGTCCCTAACTTAGGCATAAACAGGCTGTCCGGTACACCCTCGTTTTTTTCAGTAATGATCCTTTGGTTTGATGTCAGCTGATGATTTTATCCAGTTTTTTGTTTTGTTTTATTTTTGTTTTCGTACTCATTAGTAAAATGAATTCTATTCACCTACTTTAAACACAAAAGATTTATCTATTATCTCTCTGTATGTGTATATGTATGAAGGATAGTTAATTTGTGTTGTTTGTTTATTTGTAGTCGATATTTCTTTTCTTTTTGTTTTTTTTTCTCGAACGACACGCTACACACTTTTGACATCTCAAAGTTAATTTGAGATTTTTCTATTCATTTTGTAATTTAGTTTTGAATAAAACTAAGGTAGTAAGCGGAACTTCCTCAAACTGAACTTTATTCGAAAAATACTCACAAACAAAAAAATTTCTTCCTTACTTTTTTACTAATTAAAAGTTGTGAATGTATTGATTCATTTTCACACTCTCTCTCTTTCTATATATATATATATATATATATATATATATATATATATATATAGTTTCCTGGAGTTCTAGTGAGAAGTCGTGACCAGTGAGGTCGAATTAGATGTCACGTGTGTGGATGCATGTCCCACCAACGACAATGGTTGGGGTCGTGCTAAATCACGAATTGGTAGAAGTTAGAATTCATGAGCCATTGAATCGGATCCCAGTGGCTGAATGGTATACGAGCTTGCCTTGTAACCGGAAGGTCCTGGGTTTGAACCCTGGCAGTGGGTGCGTACTGCCGATGATTCCCAAACTAGGATGAAACAGCAGCTGTCCAGTACTCCCTGTTGGGTTTTCAATGGTTCTCTAACTGATATCAATCCGTGATCAACTCGTAAAAAACATAACTAACCCTTATAAACCAAACTATAGGAAATGATTTATTTTATTTCAGTTTGTATACCATCGTTATTATTATTATTATTCAACAAATTGAAGAGTTTCAGCATGAAGTAGCCGCGCTGAGTATAGTATTCCATTCGAACACATTGTCTGTCTCACACCATCACAAAGTTGCATTGATATTGGTTGATATTTTGTTGACCTGATATTCAACCTTTTGTTCATAAATGACTTCTTTTTCATTGCTTGATAAATCTGATCTATATCAATGTATATCTATATAAAAAAAATCCCCATTTAGACATTTAGAAAAACAGAATGATTGAGCGAAGAAATATTTACTTTTCAATTAGATCCTCATCTCTGGCTCTACTCTAATATACATGTATAGCATTTTTATTACAATACACAACAGTTTACCAATCAAGTGGCATTGATATGTTTGTTAACAATAATTAGTCAGTGTCAAAATGTCAATGGGTTGATAATTAACGAAGAAAATCAATACACATTTAAAAGGTAGAAATGGATAGAATAAATTAATTTTACAAGGATAACACGTAATTAAAGATGAAGTGGTCAAAAAAAATAAAATAATTTGGACAATTATAATTTTTATAGTTTTTAAAGGTTTAGGGGGAGGGGGGCGATGTAGTCCTGTTTATGCATTCTTGTAACGATGGCCACGGTAAGGAAAGTGGCTGTACAAATTTCTTCTGAACACATAGGCTTGGCTTCTTCAGGTGGATTCCTATTGCTTTAGCTGTCTGTAGAAGACGAACTCGTAGAGCAAAATTAAGATTAGTCGGATTGCGATAAATAATTTTAAATGCAGTATTAACATCAACCTCAGTATCAACAAGGTGTCCTAAAATAGAACTACGAATAGATCTTGTTTGTCCCTTGCTTAACCATGTTGGATGATGTTCGGAAATACGATGATGAACCTGCCTAATTGTACACCCAATGTAGCTAGCTTCGCAGCTGCAGTCAAACTGGTAGATACACATAGAGGAGACACAGTGGTTAAGACTCTCGCCGACCATGGACATGGTCCGGGGTTCGATCCCCTGCCGACGCACACCTGATGTCTATGGTCGGCCTGAAAAATTTGGGCTACCGATATCACATGCTGAAAATTCCATACCTGTACCAAAAATACAATGTGGAATCAAGCTGTAATAAGAAAAAAATTTAGGTAGTTTGTCCTTATATCTCGAACATAGAATAGAGGTGGTTGTGAAGCGACAACGTACCTCTGCTGCATAATAAGCTCTTTTAACTGCATTCTTCAGGCTCTGTGTTGTTATTTCGCTGATGTTGTCACCGAGGAACTGCAATTTTATGAACATTGGTTTTTCCGGAACTGTAGCCATACTGGCTCTCATTGGTGCTGAATTCATATTTTTCTCAATGAATTTATCTGGATAATCATTTTTTCTAAGTAATTCCCTAATAATGTTATGCTGCTCATTGAGGCAGTCGTCTGAACAGATTAACCTAGCTCTATGAACCAGACACTTTATCAGGTAACGCGTTTATATTTCAAAGGTCCAAATTCAAAAAATGAGTGTACTGACCTGTTGTTGTAGGTTTCCTATACACACTCCTTCTTCGTTAATTATCAACCCATTGACATTTTGACACTGACTAATTATTTTTAACAAACATATAAGTGCCGCTTGATTGGTAAACTGTTGTGTATTTTAATAAAAATGCTATACGTGTATATTAGAGTAGAGCCAGAGTGAGATGAGGATCTAATTGAAAAGTAAATATTTCTTCGCTCAATTTATATCTGTTGATTAAACAATCATAAAAGTACCAGGGGTTCGAGAAATTCCCTGATATTTTCGATATTTCCTGTACCTAATATTTGTACATTTCCTTAGCGAATTTGGTGTCCCTTAGTTGTCAGCATGCATTGGTTATGAAGGGATATCATGTCTGTTGACAGTCAATTTATCTTCATGTGTGTGTGTGTGTGAAGACGAAGAAGACGTCCATATTGGGCGAATATAAGGTTTTTCTGGATTGTTGTCGTTTATCTTGTAGGGTGATGTTGGTTTTGTCTTCTTTTGGATGACTTAATATGTTACGGTATAGAATGAAGTGATTTTTCTTCGTTTATATGGACGACATCTATTCCGAAAGGCATGTTTTTTCCTCCATTGTTTGAATAGTCATCGGTTAATAGTTTGCTTGGTGTGTAATCGTTAGCGACAGTTTACTACTCTCAAACAGCGTATCGAGTTAGCATAATAATAGAATGAGTTTATAATGCCAAACAGTGTTGACATTGTAGATTTTAAAAGTATGAATCGGTAGAGGTTGAGAAATGTCAATCATTGAAAAGTTTTATCTAGATCTTCAGGTATACCATTACTCACTGGATATCATTATTATTATTGTTTCCTTTAATTCCTAGAGCAACATAGGGCTTCAGCCGTACGTCTTTATTGTTTTCGGTTCTCTTCCGACGTTTTCACCTGGCTCCACGTCTACCCACATGCTTTCATCTCCTCTTCACATGACTTCTCCCATGTCACCCTCAAAGAGGACCAACTGAATCGCTGCTTCCCATTCGGCCGGGTTCCACTCGAGCAATGACCTGGCGTGTGATGTCACTCACTTGATGGTTTTCTCAGAGTGTAGACAATCCACCTCCATTTTTCCTGCATATTTGTTGCACAGTCGGTTCCTGCTGTGTTGGTTCGCTCATTGCCAGAGATCCCTGTTGCTGATCTTTTCTGACTAGCCATCTGATCTTGAGTGGTACTGAGCGAAGACAGCAGCTGATGAAGGTCTGTTCGAAGTGCCCTTCGTGACGCAGCGCCAAGTCTCTGATCCGTATAGTAGCACTCACTGACTTCACATTGGAGTTGAAAATCCTGATCTTAATTTTCATGCTGAGTAGTGTTGTTAATTTCCAAACAGACTTGAGAGTAATGAAAGCTTACCTTGCTTTTTTGATCCTCGCTTGGATATCCTCATCAGTTCGTCTAGCTGTAGTTGTAACGATGCTTCCCAGGTAGGTAAGTAAAGGAAGTTGCTTCTTTCATTTTTCTCCCATTGATGCTGGCTGATTGTTGTCTGTTGTTGTTGTTTCTCTTGGCCAGGAATCTTCATCAACTTTGTATTCTCTATGAACACCTGAAGTCCTATCTTTGATTCTCCTTCTGTCAACTTTCTTTTCACTTGCACATCTTCCAGTGTTTGTGGGAAATCAAACATATATCATCGGCGAAGTCTAGATCCTCCAAGTTTTTGTGTGGAGATCTAGGTCAAATTTTTCAATGATTGATATTTCCCAACCTCTAACAATTCATACTTTCAGAATCTAGAATTTCAACACTGTTTGGTGTTATAAACACGTGTAATATTTAAAATCCTGGAAATAGTTTTGATAAACTTAACCTCAAGTAGACAAAGTTTGTATATGCATACAAAATAAATTAACTGAACTGGTTGAACTGTCCAGATATACGACTTAGTACAAATCTGCAGTAGTTGAAGAAGTTACCACCTTGTATAAAAGCACATGAAAAAGACGAAACGCAAAGAAGATAGAACAAAACAGAAATTTCTCGGGACGAAGAAAAGAAAATTACACAGAGAATAATAAAACTTCAATGGATCTAGGAGTAAACCCATCTCCCTATGCCATTGAGAACGATTTTAAACCATCTATTGGTTCTTAGCGTTTCGAGGATCCCAAGAAAGCCAGTCTACTATACTTCCATAAGCATCTAAAAATGAAAGATTAAGAACTTTATGGATTGACGGTTTGTTTTGATTTGACTGTGCCAACTTTATCTTATATCAGTTAGTTAATTGCGTTTATGAGACCTCTGGGTCAATTCCTGCCACGATACAGATGTTCGTCTCACCTCACAAGCCAACTGAAGAGTATCGAGGATAGTCTTGAAAATAATTCATGTTTAATAATTACATGGTTGATTTCCTTCAAGGATATAATGTGCATTTTTGTACTTTCTTTTTCTTCGCCCCCCACCCCCAACTCCACTCCATATCGTATGTTCACTCGTCATTCATTATCAATGCCTTCGTCATCATTCGTGTACACAGTATGTTTGCGCTTTTGCTGTCTCCAGTATGTCATCAAATGCAAATCGTATTGGTAAACCGTTCAATCCATTATTAGGCGAAACATATGAACTGCATTATAATAATTTTGTTTTCGTTGCAGAACAAGTAAGTACCAAAATCTGCTATTTCTTTGTTCGCTATTTCACTTATATTATCTTGTTGATTGTGTAAAGCTGTAGGCTCACTCATCTAAGCTCCTGTATCTCTGATCAAAGTAAGTTATTCGTGAGTTCGAACCTTCTGGCTCTGCATACCAAGGTTTCAGCAGCCAGGTGGTATCATTCACCTCATATCTCAGGTGTCGGCCACTGCATAGGAATGCAGTTTAGTAGTGTAATTCGCCTGTAATCATGTCTCTTCAACTGATCGCTAAATATATTCTTTCAAATGACCATTGTTATTTAGAATTTCCCGTTAATTGATTGATTGATCGATATAGTTAATTGCATTGAAATACTCGGTTCAGCTTATAAGCCGCAAACGAAATGCAACAGGGATCCTGCTTTCCGTTACTAACCACCATCAATCAACTCAACATCTTAATTCTTTAAAATACTTAACAAGCTAGCGTATATTTTATCTCTAATAACTGTGTGATAACTATCTTCAATGAAAAATTCATGAAGAACATTAACCGAACCATCTTACCTTTTTGGATAGAATTTGCAAACTAATTCACGACTTGCAGTTTAAACTGTTCGAGGTGAAATTTCGCCTTAGTTGCCTTTTGTAAATTATTCATATCAGAATATCTTACCTGCTTCGTACCATAAATAGCGATCAAGAAAGCCATATACTACTGACAGGTTAACATGAGTAGTTTTATAAGAGTTCTTGCTAACCAGAACTCAGTGGTTAGAATTGATTCAGCTCTCTAAACTGTTTCACACTGGGTGCATTACTGATGAACTCGGCTCCAGAAGAGCGAAATGTCTATCCGGTGTGTATATTACTTCTACCGCGCTAGTCGGATAGGATAGTGTTCACAGAGTTCGTTTGGAGTCGAGCTTATCAGTTTTGATACTCGATTCGGCTCAGCCCAGAGAGTGGAATTCTGATATAAGCACTTCCTGCTATACCAACTCGTAATATATATGTATATATATGTATAATCACACTCGTCATGTGAAACGATAGTCGCGGGGTTTTAAGGACAGTAGAACATCATCAATTAACTGAAAATTCAGGTACCTCTAGGTAACAAGGGTAAATAGAGTGAAGTAGCGTGTTGTTGTGTGTCGACTACTATCCTACCGTCAATTAAATAGCAACATAAGTATAAAACTTGTGCACTGTGGTGGTAGAGTATAACTCCATTATGGATAAGGTTTTATTTTGATAAATCACACCGTGTTGTTACACAGTAATATTAACTGATGACCACGCTTCGAGCACAAATTATTACCACTCATAATCATATCAAGTCACTCACTCACACAACTTTCTCTCTTCATTTATAAACATGAATGGAATTGTTGAAATATTTGCATAAAAAATCCATATAGTATAATGTATATTCAGAAATAATAATATGAGTGTTATCAATCAAATACAATCAGATGGGAAATGAGACGAGTGTGTTTATAGTCAAAATAGGTAACTTGTTAGAATGTTATAATTAATGTATGTGAATTGAAATAGAATTTTAAGATTATTTATTATCTTCCTCTCATTTGACCAGTGGCAATACTATCTTCCATATCTCTGGTGTTTGCATTGAGTCATTTCTGTTGCATTTTATACTTATACTTATACCTATCTAAATTTTATTGATTCTCTTCTCTCCTTTTCCTGTCTACCTTTGTGTGCTATTTGGAACGTGGCAACTCGAACTGCTGCACTTCGGTGCCAAGTTCTATGTTGAATCCAGCAGCAGCAGCAGCGTTTCTGTTGCATGTGTTGGGTGTAGACTCGATGAACCAGGATTCAGTAATCAAACTCTCTCTCTCTCCAGCTATCTAGATTAGTTTTTAGAATTTTGACTCTGTCCCATAAGGACGTGGAGAGAGGGGTTGATTACTGAATCCTGCCTGCTTCATCGAGTCTACGCCCAACACATGCAACAGAAATGACTCAATGCAAACACCAGAGATATGGAAGATAGTATTGCCACTGGTCAAATGAGAGGAGGATAATAAATAATCTTAAAATTCTATTTCAATTCACATACATTAATTATAACATTCTAACAAGTTACTTATTTTGACTATAAACACACTCGTCTCATTTCCCATCTGATTGTATTCGATCAATAACACTCATATTATTAATTGTGAATGTACATTATCTTATATTGATTTTTATTCGAATGTCTAGTCATCAATTTCATTCATGTATATAAATGAAGGAAGAAAGTTGTGTGAATGAATACCTTGATATGATTATGAGCGGTAATAGTTTGTGCTCGAAAGGTGGTCATCAGTTAATATTACTGTAAATAACAACATGTCCAAGAGTTTGAACTACATATCGGCATGTCAATAAAGACTCATCATTCCATCTGATAACCATCGCCTAACAAGCAATTCGGAAATGATTCATTTTATCATAAGTAGTTGTAGTGTCAGTAGAAAATATTAGTACATTTAGTACCTCGACTATGACTTATTATTATTATTATTATTCCCTTGGGTTCTTAGTGGAACATGGGGCTTCAACTACACGTCTCCACTTGCTTCTGTCCTCTGCTGTACTTTTCACCTGCATCCATATTAGTTCATACTGTTTCAAATCCTCTTCACACGTTCTCCTCCATGTCACCCTTGGACGTCATACTCACCGCTTCCCTTTCGGGTTCCACTCGAGGGCCTGACGCGCGATGTCACCCAACGGCCTCCTCAGCGAGTGTCCGATCCATCTCCACTTTCGCCTGCATATTTGTTGGGTGATTGGTTCTTGTTTTGTTTATTCCCATAGTTTCTTGTTGGTGATTCTTTTTGGCCATCTGATCATCAGTATAGAGCGGTGACAGCTGTTGATAAAGGTCTGCAACAGGCTGTTGGAAATATTTTTTGTGACCCTCCAAGTTTCTGATCCATACGTATAGAAGAACTGACTGACTTGACGTTTGTATTGAAAATCCGAATCATTTTGTTGTTGATGCTGAGTGACGGAGATTTCCAGATTGGTTTCAGGTTGACGAATGTGTATCTCGCCTTCCCGATTCTCGATTTGACATCCTCGTCCGTCGGTTCCTCCTGTAGTTGAGACAATGCTCCCTAGATAAGTGAATGAAGTAACCTCTTTCAAATCCCTCCCGTTGATGGTGATTGCTGCTGGTTGTTGTTGTTGGTTGGTTATTTTCATAACCTCCGTCTTGTCTATGTTCACCTGTAGTCCTGTCTTTGCTGCTTCTTCGACCAGTTTGTCGACTGTGACAACATCAAATAAATTTATTAACATGTCTAATCTTTACTCTAACATCACTTTGATTAATATCATTATTGTTATTGTTATAATTTCAAAGGTATCTCATCATCCACCGATTACAGCTTTTCATGTAGAATCAGAAAATTATCATCTCCGTGCTACTGTACAGTTTAAAATCCGCTTTTGGGGTAAATCAATCGATGTTCAACCAAAAGGTTTAGTCACGCTAGAATTATTCAATTATAATGAAACGTATACATGGCAAAATGTTAATTTAACACTACACAATGTATTAATGGGTAAAATATGGATGGAACAAGTTAGTCCATAATGATCTTTATGTATATATTTGAACTTTATTATCATAATGTGTTTGTTAGGCTTGCTTGTTTGCATGTGTATGTCAAATATGGATAGTGTTTCTATTAGTCTATAAATCTAATTTTGTTTTCATGTGTTGTTGTTGCTATTTTTTAACATCTTATAGCGTATATGTTTGAAATTTGTGCATTATGCTAATTTAAACAAACGGTAAAGTATCAAACAAAAAAATAAAGAAATAAATACAATTTGATCAGTACTACAAAATCGCTTAAGTTTTAATTAGTCTTAAATATCCAAATGTGTTTAATTTATGCTGTATTGATATTATAATTATTATTGTTCCCTTGGGTTCCGAGTGAAATGTAGGGCTTCAACAACACATCTCCAGTTTCTTCTATTTTCTGCCATCTCCTCTTCAGCTGGGTCCATGATTGACCAAGCTGTCTCATCCCCTACTCCTCACACGGTCTCCTCCATGTCACCCTCACACCGACGACCCACTCGTGGCTTCCCAATGGGATTCCACTCGAAGGCGCTGGTCTGGAGAGCTTTGTCATTCGATGCTTTCCTCAATGAATGCCCGACCAATCCATCTCCATTTTCTCCTACATATTTATTGAGCGATCAGCTTGACGTTTCCAACAGGAGGCTGCAGACTTCCATCAGCAGCTACCTTCGCTCGATACTGAAAATCAGATGGCCAGAAAAGAACAGTGATCTGGAAACGAACCAGCCAAGAACCTGTTACCTCAACAAATTCGTATCGCTCACAGTCGGCTAGGTCACATTATTGATCATATCAAATTTTACCTTTGCATAACCCCAAATACGTCATAGTTCATATCCTATCATACTTCTTTCATATTTATTCCCATTACAGACTGGTTCGTTACGGATTACAAATCATACGCTAGGCATTTATAGTCAGTTAGAATTTCTACCAGCTAATTGGCTCGGTCAAGGAGCTAATCGGTTTACAGGTGAATTATACGCCCCAGCGTCCTTAAACAACACAATGATGCGATCAGCTTCGTCGAATTCTTCGTTAAGTGTTAACACAGTTAACCCTAGCAAGTCTAACTCCTCACACGTGTTGAAACGTGTAATTTTTGGCAATTGGTGTCGAGGTCTATTCACTGTTGAACCGAAAATATGGAATGAAAGAGAAGAAGTGAATGGGGTGAGTGTATTTTTTTGCGTAAAAATTAAAACTTATATCAGTAGTATATCATCTGGTTGTTTTGTCATGTATTAGTTTCAGGATTACACTGACACGAGGTACTATTTCCTATTATTTTTCCAAAGATTTGTCTACATATGGTGTTATTTGGAGAGAACTCATCAAGAAAAAGTTAACCGGACGTCCTCTTTAACGCGGAACAATTTAAACCGACATTAAATTGGGTTTAAAAAAGGTTAAGGATAGCGTGAATAAAACATGGCATGAATCTGTGAAGTCTTTTACAGTTATAAGAATAAACTTGTGCACTGTGGTAGAATGTAATTCCATTATGGGTAAATTTTGTTTTGATGAAGTCTCATAGTGTTATACAGTAATATTTACTGATGACGTTTCGAGCACAATTTATTGCTCATAATCATATCAAGGTAATCACACGACTTTCTAAATTCATTTATATAGTTCCGTTGTTTTCCACTTGATTTGATTGGGTATGAGTGATGAATCATTCCTATTGCATGTGTTGGGTGTAGATTCACTCGATGAACAAGGATTCAGTAATCAACCTCTCTCCACCTACCTAGATTACTTTTTAGAATTTTAACCCTCTCCCACCCTATTGTGTGGTTGTGTGTTAATGCATGCATTGCAATTGCCGAGCTTTTTTCTAAATTACTTATCTTCTCTGGGTCAACCATTCTTACCTTAGCTAAGTTCTTATGTTCTGACAATCTGACTACCCCTGACCTACTAGTTTGACCTATGTAGTTGACCTCACAGTCATTGCAGGGTATTTTGTAAATTATATTTTGTCTAATTGGGTCCACTGGGTCCTTTAACCTACAGAGCTTGTCCCTGAGTGAGTTTGTAGGTTTAAATGCCACTCTAATTCCTGCTTTATTTAGAATCCTACGTAGGGTCTCAGATGTCCCCTCTTTATATGGTATAACTGTAGATGACTTATATTCTCTCTTATTTGTGTTATTATTACTAGTTTCACAATTCTTTTTCTTTTTCTTTTGGCCTTTTTCAATCTTCCTAATGAATTTTAGAGGATAGTTATTTAGAACCAACGCCTCTTCTATCTGTTTCATTTCATCATTAAGGTCTTTTTTGTTCTACTTAGTGCCATTGCTCGGTTTGTTAGACAAACACTTAACTAAGCCTGCCTTAACAGTTAACGGATGAGATGAATTAAAGTCTAAATATCTATTAGCACAATGCGTTGGTTTTCTATAAACACTAATGTGTAGTTTGCCTTCTTCTATTCGTTTTATTTTACAATCTAACACAGCTAATTCTCCCTGCTCATTTTCGGTTTCAAATGTGAATTTTATTCCCTTCACTAGTGAGTTTATGTGTGTCAAGAAGCTACAGATGTTTTCTTTCTTTCTTTCTTTCGTCGATGTGAATCTCCAGAGACAATTCATCTCAATTAATTTATCAAGTAAAAAGAGGTCTCCTGAAATTGATGAGCATATGAATTTTTTTTATAATCGAAAGCCTAGCTATCCAGATAGGAAACTCGGTTCACTACCATCACTTTCAGCTGGTCTCACAACCGCCCACAAGTGTTCATATCCCTCCCTTCCTCCTCCTCCTCCTCCGAAAGTGATCTTCTTCATATGACCCTTGGACCCACGCCTACCTCATCACTCTTCCTATTTGGGTTCGACAACAGAGAAAGCCTGATGTGTTATTTGATTTGAAGGTCTCCCCAGCGTACAATGTCTAATCCATCTCCTTCTCTCTGTGCTCTTGCCAATCACACGTGACTTTTGCAAGTACTTCATAGGATTGCACAATTGTTGATTGGAAGTTATTAACTTGGATTAGTGTTCACTATCTGCAGGTGTTTGCTTTTAATTTTCTAATTATTTCATTACACGAATGCTCACCAATATACAAGTATGATTGTATGACTAAATAAATGAACTCACCTTGAAGGAAACAACTCACTTACTAAACCATTTGCTCTTCTCGTATTTTATGTAAAAGTTACATAATGAGTAGTGTTGTTTGAACTCAGTTACTCAGAACTAGGCTATGTGAGTCAAAGAATTATCGCGTGACCGCTGATGATACTACCCAGCTAGAGAAGTTTGGTTGAGTGGGATTCTAACCCCGTAGGCGTCTGGTTGAAATTTGAGTGCTTAAGCTAATCTTCAGCCACATCTCTACAATCGTGGGTGGAGAGTAAGTAGTTCAGTTGAAAGCTTTCCATGTAGTGCATACAATGGAATTGACAATTTTCAACTTAAACAGCTTAAGGTGAAAAATCATCACAGTTTCCTGTGGGAACCGTAAAAATATTCACAATATGCAATCTCCTGGATACTACACATGGCGGCCAAGAATGCAAGAGAAACAGCATGATGGTGTATGCTAATTCATCCCTATGTATTACCAGTTCACCCAAGTAGCTAGCCAAATTTTGAGGGAAATACATTATTTTGTTTATTTGATCTATTTTGATTGAACACTAGTCAGTAACTAGTGTAATGTGTCTAGTCCTATCTTCGGTGCAGACTGAATTCTATCAGTCATGTTTGCCTCCAACCATCTAGTACCAACAATTCACAGTGCACCGTAATGGCGAGCCACCTAGCATGGTGGCCACATTGCAAACATGACTGATAGAATTCAGTCTGCACCGAAGATAGGACTAGACACATTACACTAGTTACTGACTAGTGTTCAATCAAAAATATCCAATACAGTCCTACAGGAGATCAGTCGCGAGCCTGAATAGCTCAGTGGTAACGTCTCTGACTGCAGCACTGGGTGATGCGGGTTCGAATCTCAGAAGGGACATCAGTTCCTTCAAGGTTGCAGATACGCCTTGCTGATGAGTGCCAACTAGCACGAAACCTAGGTCCAAGGCTTCCTGCCGATTGCCTCCAACCATCTAGTACTATTTGATCTACTCCACAATGCTCAAATTGTTTACTGGCATTAAGATTTTGAGTGGTTTCAACGAAGTAGACCGCTAACGCGTCCCATCCCAAACGAGCCAGACTGCCATTCAGTGTTTAGTCCGCTAGTTAGTAGACATTGTTGGATGACATGAGAGGCTTCCAACTACTAACACTAAACACCAGTAGTGCATATTATGCAGCGCATGTCTAGGAGAAAGGAGAACGAAGACTTCACTGGCTTATGCTATACGATTTGAACTAGTTGAGAAGGTGAGGAAAGATTTTGATGAGATTTCTCTGATCGTAAATTTGTGTTTCTGGGGTGGGGGAGGAGAGGGGGGGATGTAGGATACGCGAAGTCTTTTCGAAACTGCATTAAAGAGAAATATCATGTGATCTAGCATGTGACACATCGGTGTTAAACTGCTAAAGTTAAACCAGAAAAATTGGAACTGCCAGAAAGTAAAATAATCATACTGTTGTCAGTTGTGTAATAATAATAACAATCGTACTCTAGTGAAACACCATGAATTTCGGTAGTGTTTTTTTTTCAAAAGACCATCAATCATTCATGTGATTATTCACTGGAGAATACTGAAAAAATAATTATAATGAGAGTAGAATTTGGGCTTTACTGGCTTATGGAACTCCATCCTAGAATAATTTTATTTAGTAAAAATCGCATAGAGTGATATAGTATTATTTAGTGATGATGACGTTTAGTGCACCATTTATCTCTCATCATCATGTATCAAGGTGCGATACGCCTATAATCTCTTAATACAAACATTGAATCTTTACCTCAGAGTTATGGTGGAGACATGTGGATGACAATTCCACAATGTTGTAAAACCAGCACGTTTCTCTCGCTAGATGGAGATAGTTTTAATTCCATTGCAGATAAGACTTATTTTGATTAAATGGAGGATTTCATCATGAGCTGACATTATTTAGAGAACCACTAGAAAACCTGGGAGTACTGGACAGCTGTTTCGTCATCATCAGTACGCACTCACCGGGATTCGAACCTTCTGGTTACAAGGCTAGCGCGCTCGTAGACCATTGAGCCACTGGGACCCGATCCAATGGTCCTTGAATTCTAACTTCTGCTAATTCACGACATAGCGCGACCATTTTGCAATGCCTTCTTCGATGAGTTCCTGCCTCATCTTCAACCTGCTGTACCTTACTGGTCACGGCTTCCCACTAGAAACCCAGGTTAACTGCCTGAATAGGGCCAGTCACTAGTGAGCATCAGATTAATTTTCAAGTATTGGCTTTGTAGGGATTTTGTTTTGTTTCGTCCTAGTTTGGGACTCTTCATCAGTACGCACCCATCGGGATTCGAACCCAGGAGGTCCTGGGCTGTCCAGTACTCCCAGGTTTTCCAGTGGTTCTCTAACCGATGTCAGCTTATGATGAAATCCTCCATGCAATCATACAAAATCCCTACAAAACCAATACTTGAAAATTATTTTGATTAAGTCACACAGTGTTTATTATACAGTATTATTTACTGATGACCACGTTTCACGCACAATTTATTATCGCTCATAAGCATATCAAGACACTACTCAAACAACTTGCTTACTTCGTTTATATACATGAGTAAAGGTGATCAAACGTATGAATAAAAATGAATAAAAGTTCATTAGACATGCGTGAAATAAAAAGGAAGATACAGTACATTCGGAAATAATATTAGTTTCAGCAAGTTTCAGAACCAGTTGAAAGTGTTGACAGTGAACAGAGTGCATTGAATATGTTCCTCTGAAGCTGTATATTCCACTCAAAATGTAGGGAATGCGCAATAATAATAATAGCAGAGGTAACCATAGGCATCTTGTGTTCTAAAAGGGACTTCATGAATGACTCACACAGTTAGGTTACTCACCTAAAGAATGTAACATACAATTTTCACCAAATCATTTTGGCAATACTCATCGACAGGTTGAATATTGCTGAAAGTCAACTAGTGATGCACAAAAAAACAAGTGAATATCCTACTGGGTGTTAGACGTTTGCAGGCAAACATAAGAGAGGGAGCCTTGCGAATACCTTTCATGCTTATCGGACCTCAGAATTATTGTTATTAGATAGTTGGAGACAATCAGCCACAGAAAGCCTTACTTGGCACTCACTAGTCAGTAAGGCATATCTACAATCTTCAGGGAACTCATGTCCATCCTGAAGTTCGAGCCCGCGTCACTCAGTGCTGCCTGTAGTTAGAGACATCACCACTGAACTATTCGCGCTGGAGATTGACCTTCTGTAGGACTGTATTGGATACTTTGATTGGACACTAGTTAGTAACTAGTATTACGCCAAGCAGCACGAGACCTAGGTCGAAGACTTCCTGCCGATTTCCTCCAACCAACAACAATTCATACTGTACTGTGATGTCAAGTCCAAGTAGCATGGTGTTGACATTGAAAACTAGACTGATATAATTCAGTCTGCCCTAAACGAAGGACCAGGCGCATGATACTAGTTACTAAGTGGTGTCCAATCTTCTCTTATCAGTTAGTGATCCCAGGTTATCTAAAGACGGCTGTTTAATCCTACCACAACTGAAACCTTCATTCTGCATTCCATGAATAACAGTCTATTAACCGTAGGCTTTCTTAAATAGTCTCACTATTGAACCCTATACCCAATTATAAAAATATTCAAATTTTTGCGTGTATAGATTTGATTATTTTCAGTGTCGGTCAAGAATCGACTTCAGTTAGAGAGGTATTCAGAACTGGGCATTTGTTTTGTCCCTACTTACAACTCTTGGTGAGTTCGCATTCATGACCCCACCAGAGAACGAACCCATGGCTTTCAAGTTACAGGTCGAGGTTGTATACCATTCAACCCACTAGAATGGAATCCAATAGTCTCTCAATTCTGATTTTTGTCATTTCGCGACAAGGGCCAGGCAACAGATCGTTTACCGAGGAAATCAAGAGATATTTATAGATTTTTATGTACATTAGTACTCGTTATTGTTAGCAGAGAAGCAACGTCTTCTGATTGGCCGTTTCTCTGAAGGTCATATCATATAACTGCGAGTCGTATCCGTCCCCGCAAAGTCTGCCGTTATTGGTTGTTGAGTTAGTCTTTGTTCCTGTTTTTTTTTCTCATGACCAAGATTGGGGACGTAAATATTGGTGTAAATTGCTGTTTACCAATGTTGGGTAGCAGACAGCTCTCACTACAGTAGGTGTGAACTGATGAAGAGTCCCAAACCAGGACGAAACAGCCTTCCAGTACTCCCTGATTTTCAGTAGTCCTCTAACTGAAGTTGATTTGTAACTAAAATTGACATTAAAAAATTATTGTTCTTTTCTTTTATAAAGTTTTATAATTTCCATGTCATTCACCTTGTGTGTAAATCTTCCTTTACAGAAAGGTAATCCTACTGAGACAGTTAATAATTCCGAGTTAACTGATACACCTGAGTATGGATTTGAACTGCCGCTGACTGGACAGTGTTGTCTATGGCGTGCACGACCAAAACCATCTTGTTCATCTGACTACTATAGTTTCACACAGTATACAATTGGTTTGAATGAATTAAACTATGCAGTGAATCCATCAGCTGATAATGTCACTACCGGTCACAGTAATCATGACTTTGAAATGAATGCCAATGGTAATATGCTGAATTGTATGACGAATACTCCAGCGAGTGAAATTCCATCAAGAAAAAATTCAATCTATGGGAAATTTTTACCACCTACAGATTCAAGATATCGACCAGATTTACGTTTATTTGAAATGGGTAAAATTGGTAAGTGTGTGTATAGATTTCAATTTTATTCACCTGTTTTGCCGTTGTTGTTGTTGTTGGTGGTGGTGGTGAAGGCATGTCTTTGTTATGGCTCACTTTTAAATTTTACTGTTGAATAACTTTTTAACGGTGTAGATTTCGCCATGGACTGACATTTGCTATGGGAGGGCGGTGGCAGCTGGGTGGGGGCGGGAGGATTTTTGAAAACCAGAAAGCATTGAATAACTGCTTTATTCCAGTTTAGGACATCTGAGCAACACATTTACCCATCATAGATCGAATTCATTAGCTTCTGGTTGTCAGATGAGCCGGTTGACTACTCAACCACTGAGTTGGAATCCAGTCATTTTTGAATTTCTAATTTCTGTCACTTTGTGATATAGCGTCGGTGGCACAGCGGTTAGGGCTCTCGCCGACCGTGCACATGGTCCAGAGTTCGACCCCCTGCCAACACACACCTGGTATCTATGGTCAGCCTACAAAATTTGGGCTACCCATATCACATGCTGAAAATTCCATACTTGTACCAAAAATACTGTCTAGTTTCAAGCTATAATAAAAAAAATAGACAAACACCCACTTCGCCTTGTCAACTTAGACCTCACTGGCCATGACTTATTATTAAATCTATCCAGCAGCCACTATTGATCTACAGATTGATTTTTATGATTGGATTTCGGCCACAGTGGCTGAATTGTCAACGACCTTGGCCGCATAGCCTGTATGTCTTGGGTCTGATTCCTGGTGGGATGGTGGTTTTTATACTGCTATGAAGTCCTCCTAAATTTTCACTGGTTCTCTAATCGGTGTCAGTTAGTCATTTTAACTCGTAGTCAAATCCAATATTTAGATACTATTTAATTCATGTTTGTGATTGCGTATGCGTTGCACAAGTGGTAACTCGCGTGCTGACATTTGAAACGACAACAGGGGATGCAGATACCTTAAACTGGCGTGTCTCAGACTTGACTAAGTACATGTCTGTAATTCCCTTATCCAGACACTTACTAGTAAAATTGCACAATTATTATTTATATTCATTATTATTATTTGACAATCATTCACCAATAGTGCTTGTAATTTTACACCATATCATCGTTATTATTTTACAATCATTCTTATTGTCGTTATTTTCAACCTTGAACTTATGTCTAGTCCGCCCCATTCGTTGGTTCATTTTCATATTGTCTCACACACCCTGATTACACTCACTCTCGAAACTTGTATTTTTCTTTTGGCTATATTTATCTATATGCACACACATCATTAAATTAAATTATTTTATCTCATGTTCTCATTGACAGTGCATATTCAAAACTAACTGACTATTGTTCCATCCCACCTTCCTTATACTTGTTCCACAATACACTTTCTGATATGATTCTAATTTCCCTTTCCCGACTGGTTATTGTATGCTTAAATTAATGGATTTATAATTGTAGAGCCTGAAAAAGAATTTATTGAAAACAATTGTTCCAATATGAAATTCTTATGTGCGTTGGTGGCACAGCGGTTATGACTCTCGCCAATCATGCACACGGTCCGGGGTTCGATCCCCTGTCGACGCACACCTGATATCTATGGTCGACCTGAAGAATTTGGGCTACCGATATCCATGCTGAAAATTCCATACCTGTACCAAAAAATACGTTGTGGAATCAAGCTGTAATCAAAAATAAAAAAATCAATAATCTATCAATAAAATCTTGGTGCACCTCAAGGATCTGTTGATTCTCCTTGGAATTCCCTTGATAATTTATTGCTTTTTTACAGTTTTATTTACTATTCTCTTGTTATCTCTTTCTTTTGTCTTATTGTTTTGTATGTCAACCTTAAATTCTGTTCCCCCTACCCCAATCACTTATGTTTTAAGTATAGTTCATTATATCTTAATCGGAATTCCTTATTTATGATCGTTTTCAGCGAAGAATATTCTCTTTTCCACGATCTCATTTCCATATACACGAATTACAATCGATAATAACAATCAGTTGGTGTGTGTGTGTGAGTTAAAGTTTGACGGTGATGTTTAGGATCATGGGTCACTATTCATTAGATCTATGAATGAATAAGTAAATCAATAAATAGAGGTCACCCTAAAGTTCGATAGACGTGTGTCAAAAATAGATGATCGGAAAATAAAGTACATTCGAAAATGTGAATATAATATGATGGAAACATAGGATGAGTGAAACGTTGTCAAAATAGTAGACTAGAAATAAAGTGTTAGAATATGATGGCATTAAGTGCAATGAAATAAAACAAAATTGTTGTATGGATTACATAGTAAAATCAAGACCGTGGGGTAACGAAAGATATCGTACACATTGTTTTTGTACACAAAGTTCTGGCTTCCTGTTATTTTTCGATTTTGACCACGGAATGATATCAGTTAGAGAACCATTGAAAACCAGCTGGGAGTACTTGGACAGCTGTTTCATCAGCCTATTTTGGGAATCATCGGCAGTAAGCACCCACTCCACTGCCAGGATTCGAACTCAGGACCTCCCGTTTACAAGGCGAGTGAGCTCGTATACCATTCAGCCACTGGAACCCAATTAAGTGGCCAACCCATGAATTCTAACTTTTACCAATTCGTGATTTAGCACGACTGGCACCTACCAATGTATTCGGTGGGAAATCCATCCTCACACTTGACTGGATGGACCTCACTGGTCATGACTTCTCACTAGAACTCTAGGAAACACCGTCCTATAGCAAGTCACTAACGAGCATCATATTTTTCTTATATTATTTATTGCCAAAGCCTCTGCTATAAAACGCAAATGCACTTGTGTCCCTTTCGGCAAACATTGTAGGCTATATTAAACGATGTGTCAGATGCTGCTTCGTGGTCACTATCCACAATATTTTGCAATATCGATGAATTAATTAATACCTCTACGTTCTCCTATGCTCAGCCGAACTGGGAGGGACTCTCGAACGCGGCGGAGGGATATGTTTCTCGACGAACTTCTTATGTACCTAACTCCTCAACACCAGGTGAGCATATAAATACACATAGAATTAGACAGTCGAGGCTACATTGACATTCCTTGACATTAGGGCGCACCAGTGGACAGCTAGAGTAGGCTGGTTACTCGTAAAGTGGCAGCAAAAAACGCTTTTCTCAATGATCTCGTGATACAAGTTTGAAGTACCTCAATCTTTGTGTCACCCCAAAATCCTAAGCTTAGGTGCAACACATTTTTAGTTACATTGTCAATCTCTGTATTTATTCCACGTAATTTTCTATTGATCTCTACCAAGCGTAATGGATACCCGTTCTCTATGAAGGTTTCTTTCAATTTTCTGAGTTCGTCACCAACGCTATCTTCGTTACACATTCTTTAGGTCAACCGCTATTTATTTATTTAGTTATTCATTCATTTACATATCTAATCACTTGAAACTCATAATCCTATACACCAATATTATCCCACTTTAGTATTTCTCCTCACTGTCAAACTTCAACACACACACACACACACACACACAAGAAAACTGACTGTTATTATCGATTGTAATTCACAGATGAATACGATTGTACAGCTATGAAAATGAAATCGTTGAAAAGAGGATTTTCTTCACTGAATTCTTTGTTTTAATATCTCACTGGGGATTATTATTATTAATTCAATTATATTCTTTTATCAAGATTTATCGATCTTTTATTTTCCTAATTATGTCATCTTTTCGATATATCTTGTATGAAATTCCCTACCACTATGAATTATAATCACACATATATGACATTATTATTATTATTATTATTATTATTATTAATAGTAGTAGTAGTGTGACGACAGAAGACAAAGGCCAGGCAACAGATCGTTTATTAAGGAAATCAAGAGATATTTATAGATTTTTATGTACATTAGTATTCGTTATTGTTAGCAGAAAAACACTGTTTTCTGATTGGTTGTTTCTCACTGCAAGTTAATCTTTCATCTCTTTGTGGCTGTTTCTTGAATGTCAGATCATCTATATGCTAACTGTATCCGCCTACGCAAAGTCTGCTGTGGTTGGTTGTTGAATCAGTCTTTGCTCATATTTCTCTCACGACCAATATTGAGGACATAAACATTGACGGAAATTACTGTCTACCAATCTGGCTAGCAGCCAGTTCTCACCACACTCGTTCCCCCGTCAAATAGCTTGAACTGAAGTCGACTTGATCTTCTTGGTACTGGCGTCATCGTTGGCTTGTCTCGCTCTGTCCATTTCTGGAGCTCGCTGACGTTCACCCGCTTCTCTCTGCTTGCATTTTTGATGGTATATACGTCACCCCGTCTCGCGATGACTGTGTGTGATCCTTCCCACTTTGGTAGCAGTTTTCGCGACCCTGGCATGTATCCGCCGGTGTTTCGCCTATCCCTACATTTGACTTGATCTCCGATCTCGAATGCGGGGTACTTCCCCTTTACCCTCTGTTCGGCTTTCCCAGCGTCCACTTTCTGCTTTCGTTTTACATTGTTGATGGCTTCTTTCCGCTCCGTCCGCCATCTCTTCATACTCCAACGCTGATGGAGGGGCCAGGTCTTGTTATTTATCGGTAGTCGTGGTTTCCTCCCATACATCATCCAGTTCTTACCACAGTAGTATTATCATATCAGATTACATTTTCGAATCGTCCTATTCATCGAATTTATAGTATAAGAGTTGTCATTTTGTTATTAATAATTTGTACTTTCTGCCCTATTTCGATTAATAAGGTCATTTTTTTCTATTCCCCAAAGATGTGGACAGATTTGCTTTGTATTGATTTTATTCTCTGAAATATACACCATATTAATTTCCGTTTGACAATGAAATATTGGGTTAGTAAATAATAATAATGACATACAAATTCTTAAATGAATAACTACCTACATGGAGGATTCGAATTCACAATCCAATTCATTCTACAAATAATTAATTGATCAGTTTTATTAACCTTTGTCTTCATATTTAATTAACCTCTATCGGTATGATTAATTCATGATCATGAGAGAGAGTAAACACTATGTGAACAACAGTTTGTAGAGCAAAGGAAGACAGATAGACATTAATGAAATACCTAACACGCAGTTCAGCGAAGAGTTCTCTTCTTTCGGCGGCGAATTGATTCACACTTAGCTGCATAATCGCAATTATATATATATATATACACTAGCTGTGTCAGACAACTAAAAGAAATTAGTTAGGGTTGCCGTTAACATCATCAAAATATTCCAAAAAATATGTTGAATAATCAAATTGTAACTAGATGGTGGTGCTGGTGGGGGCGGGCGTTAAGATTAGTAAGAGGGTAGTGGTGATGAGTTGTCAAAACTAGTTGTCAATGTTAGCCAATACATAAGAAAAGTTGAATATTTGTAATGTAGTTGCGTAATAAGATGCTAAATTTAATGAGTGAGTCTTGATTAAGATCTACATGGGAAGCGAAGGAAACTATGGAACCATGTAAGAGTTTTGGAGAAATACAAGAGTTATAAGGAGTTAGAAGAGCAAGTACACAAATATAAAGTGAGTAGAAATCAACACAGTTGTTACCATGTTAGCAGAAGTGGTTTTCCCAACTGGATGACTAAGGCTTCTGAGAATATATCTTCTGGTGAAGGCCGCTGGATCATGGGTGCATACTGCTGAAGTCTTCAAAATCTCTCCAATACTTCTTGATTTTCAATGCTTCTTCAACTGCTGTCAATTCTTGGTCCAAATTGGATGACCTTATCATCAATTAATCATAAACAGGGTAGATATTCATGTCCGATTTCACCAGATTCTACTGATGAAAGGGCTAGCGATGCTACTACTGCCAATAATAGTCGGACAAGTAATCCTTTCCATAGAGCTACCTGTTGAATTTATTTTCAGACGTGTACAAAACTTGCGTGGATTGTTTCAGTTCCATAATTTTTGTAATATCAACATCACTCTGATAAGGAGTAAGCTGAATATCTCCTATCTTGGTATCAGTTTCTCTTCAAATGTCTGTTGGTCGTCACATACACTGCCGCTTTTGATGATGATCTGATTCCTAGGACGCTTCTAATGAACTAGCTGATTTCAGCAAACACTGAGTCCAGCTGGGTCTAAAGGTGTCTGTCCTCCTATTTTTCGGTTAGAAAACAACATACTCTTTTTGAATGGAAAGCGCTTCACTTCGTTACTAACGGAAACTGGGGTGCCTCAAGGTGCTGCTGTGCTCTCTCCATTCCTTTTCTCTTTCTCTCTTTTTACATGACCTTCCATAATTTTCCAAAACCAACTTCATTAAATATACCGATGATCTAACCATTTCGGTTCCAGTAGTTTCTGCTTTGGATTGCTCTTATGTTAATAGATTCTTATATATGTCTAAACCAAGTTCACTTTTAACAGTTTGAAAAAATTTGGGCATTGGGTATATGATATTCATTATAATAAAGGTTTTTGTATTTCCCAAGGAATGAAAAACAAAACGATATTGTTTTTACTGACGTTTCGCTATTTAATGCAGCTAATAGCTTTATCAAAGTATTATTAAACCGGAATTTACAAAATCTCAGCATATATATAACAAAGAGTTAGGGGGTGAGAAAATAGACTTAGGTCAAGTTAAAGGGACATATATCTTTACCAATTCACCAACTTGACAACTAAAAATGCCCCCAGACAGACGAACGATGATCAAGTTAGTAGACTTTGTTTTGATACTATAACAGATGTACTATTACCTTTGTTATTTGGTTTAGTAATCTTCATTGGTATTTTCACTTTCAATATGTCCTTTTAACTTGACCTATGTCTATTTTCTCACCCCTTAACTCTTTGCTATATATACGCTGAGATTTTGTAAATTCCTGTTTAATAATACTTTGATAAAGCTATTAGCTGCATTAAATAGCGAAACGTCAGTAAAAACAATATCGTTTTGTTTTTCATTCCTTGGGAAATACAAAAACCTTTATTATAATTAATAAATTCTTGTCTGAAGTTGACAAATGGTCTCACCTAATTGTCCTTAAACTGAATCCATTTAAATGTCATACTGTTGATTTTAGTTTCACATGTGAGTAAATAAGACTTGCTTGGACCGATTCAGTCACATGATTCGTGTAATACTGACGGCACTGTGATGGGGAGTAAATTGAAAGTCTTTCACCTCAGCATCAGTTTCTCTTCGAATCTCTCTTGGTCGTCCATCTCACATCCTGTTCATTTCCGTTTGACTTATTACATAAAGAAGTTGAGACTTTCTGGCATAAGTCAACCTCTCCTCTCACAATTTATTAATTCATGCATTATGCCCATTCTCCTTTATTATTCACCATTCTTCTTCTTTTTTTCCTTCACGTTCCCAGTGGAACATAGGGCTTCAAGCTAGAGACTTGAAGTTTCTGTAGCAGTGTTTTTATTACAGGATGAGGTTGCTAGCCTCATGCCAAACCTTTCCTCTTTACCAGTCTTATTATACTGGCTTGGCGAGGTAAAGGAATGCCTCGTCGGTGGCCGGAGATCGAACCCTGGACCACATGACGTGGGGTCGGTGAGCAATTCGATCGTTGTGCCACCGACGCGATACAGAACATACTCTCTACTTATTCTCAGCTTTCGTCTTGTATCTATTCAGGTAAAACGAGAAGAAATTTCGTAAGAATTTATGCTTGTACAGCAAAATCTAAAAAGCCAACTATACTACCATGTTTAGCACGGGTGGTTGTGTGAAGAAAGAGAGATAGTCAGATGTCAGAAAAGAGCTTGTAAACCTTTTTTTTAACCAATAAATAAAAACAGCAAATTTTAGGTGGAATTATTATTTATTTATTTATTACTCATAATATTCCACTAACTTTTAGTTTTTGTCGTTTTGTTATTTTACGTATTTATATGTATCTTTATAAAAAGAGGTAGACTTTTGCTTATGTACAATTTGTGAGAATTCTATTCAGTATAATCATTATTGTTGGTTGAAATAATGCGATTATATTATTATTATTATTATTATTAGTTGAATACTTGTAAATCGATACTTTCCAATTCGTCGATCACATCAAACATATCAATGTAAAGAACAAAAATATGCTCTCCCTCGACATTGAGTCACTATTTACCAACGTTCCACTCACAGAAACTGTCTGTCACATTTGTCAATACATAGACGAAAATCAGCTAAACATCGGATTACTGACGACTTGTTTAAAAGAACTACTGCTGAGATGTATAATTCACATTCAACGGTATTATATACAGACAACAAAATGGGATAGCAATGGGATCTCCACTGGGCGCATTACTAGCAGACTGCTTCTTGGCAAACCTCGAGAACGGCCCACTCAAATCAACTATTGACAATTTTTAATTGTATGTAAGATATGTGGACGACATCTTTATTATCTGTGATGACGGTCACGATCACAATGAGTTACTACAAATATTCAACAAATGCCATTCAGCTATAAACTTCACATATGCCAGTTTACGCCGTCTCTGGCGTAGACGTGATATCCGACTGTCGACCAAAGGGTGTGTGTACTGCTCATCAGTCCGCTCCGTCCTCCTTTATGGCTGTGAGACCTGGCCATTGAGAGCGGAAGACATGAAAAGATTAGCTGTTTTCGACCACAGGTGGCTGCGTTCTATCTCCCATGTGAAGTGGTATAATAAGGTGAGCAATATTGAGGTTAGGCGTCGAGTGCTAGGTAAGGCGGGGAAATCAATCGACGAGGCTGTGAAGTTACTCCGATTAAGATGGTTAGGACATGTGTTACGCATGCCTAGTCATCGCCTTCCTCAACGGGCAATGTTAGCTGATATAGGGCCAGGCTGGAAAAGAGCTAGAAGCGGTCAAACCAAAACATGGCACCAGTCAATGAAATCCACAACAGTTAGTTTAATCCAGCCACGTAGGAAGGTGTAGACTTGCTGGTTGGGTTCCTCGGGACGGTAAAAACCAATGGTTGGAAACAATTGGTGACATGGCTCAAAATCGTTCTCAGTGGCGCAGATGCATCCACTCCTTGTGACTTATGATTTCCAATGAAACTGTTTTGTTCTTCGTTATTACTATTCCTTTGTCTCACACCTCTGTTTACTGTCTATATTATGCATTTCTCCTACTTTCTTCTCTTGCTTTGTGTGGTACATGCAGGGAGTGTGGTGACTTGAACTGCCGCACATACGTGCAAAGTTCTATGTCGAAAACCGACCGACCGACCGATAAACTTCACTATTGGAACTGAAAACGAATCTAAAATTCCTTTTCTTGATGTAGAACTTACAAGGAGAGCTGACGGAACTTTAAGAAGGTCCATCCATAGGAAACCCACATGGAACGGCCAACTGACAAGCTTCTACAGCTGGGTATTAATCAGTCGGAAAAGAAACTTAATTAGATCTCTTGCCACTTGCGTCCGACGCATCTGCAGCTCTGATACCATGGAAGAAGAACCAAACTTCCTTAAAGAAACCTTCATACAAAACGTTTACCCATCAAGATTCGTAGACAAAAACATCAAACAAAAAATCCAAAAGCAAGAGACAGCATCCGTGCCAAAAAAGATACTTTATATGAACCTCGACTTCAAAGGAGACCTACTCAGTGACGTCCTTAGAAGGAGAATATCCACGTCTTTAAGAAGAACTTTCTTTGCGGTAACCTTGAGAGTAGTGTTCTCTAGTCGCCCACTGATCTGCAGAAGCCCGAAGGACAAGATCCCGCACCTGACCACTTCTATGTTTATATATCAGTTCGCCTGTTGCTGTGGAGCCAGGTACATCGGTCGTTCAACGCGCATCCTGTCAAAAAGGGTCAAAGAACACTATCCAGCGTGGCTGCTGAAAGGAAGTAATAGCTGCATAAGGAGTGCAATAATCGAACACCTCGTCAACACTGGTCATTCCATCTCAACAAACACCTCCTTCAAAGTAATCTACAAAGTGAAGAACAACCTTCCAAAGACAGTACGACTTCATCTTCTTTCCATCACAGAAGCACTAGCCATTCAGTTGGAGGAACCAGAACTGTGCATACAAAAGAAAATTATTCAACCACTTCTACCCTCATGGTAACAACCCTGTTGATTTGACTTCACTTTTGTTTGTTTGATTGATTTGACTTAACTTTTGTTTGTATGCCTATTTTTCTACTTAGAACGCATGTGTAATTCCGTATATTTCGTTTCCATGTACACCCTGAGTACAACTCTTTCATCAAACTATTCATGTTATTACGTAACTCTTCTTTAACAATCCTTTGTGACAACTCATCACTTTTGTTACTACTCTCTTATATCAACATCTAATTCATTTGGACTTACTAATTGTATTTTCGTTTGTCAAATTCAATGTACACATACACATACATACCATATATATTTGCGATTGTACAGCTATGAAAATGAATTCGCCGGCGAAAAGATACTCTTCGCTGAACTACTTGTCTTCTGTCTATTAAACTTGAAAATTAACCTACTGCTCATTAATGATTGACGACTGCAGTATGAAGTTTCCTGTAATTCTAGTGATAATTAGTGACTAATAGGGTCGGGTCCATCAGTCTGAGTATGAGGAAAGTGTTATTCATCTACGATGCGTTGAATGGGGGGGGGCGGTAGCATTTTTTGCCGTGAATTTTTAGAAGTTCCTATTTTACAATGCATTGCGTGTGTCATCCCAATCAGTAGCTGAATGATTAACAACGGATTTACCTCGTCACCTAAAAATTGTTGATTCAATCCCTAATGGGGGTGATGAATACAGATTACTGAAGAGTCCCAAACTAGAAGAAAACAGAGATGTTCATCACTCCATGGTTTCCGACTGTTCTATAATTGATGTGTCAATGAAAACTTACCCGGAATCAATCAAATCCCTCCAAGTGATGTGTTTGTGTGTGTGTGTGTGTGTATAGAATTAAGGGTTTTTTTTTAAATCTTTTTGTATGTTGTGTGAAACAATAAGGTTGATTAATTTTATATTTTCACTGTACATTGGGTGTTTTTTTAATTTTTCAACTTCTTCCTCTACAGATGAAGCAGCTTCTGAAAAACTTCGCTTAGAAGAAAAACAACGTCATGTACGTAAATTGTCAAATCAACGAAAAAATAGCAGTGGCGGTGGGGGTGGTGGTGTTTTCAACTGGACCTTATCAACAACTAATCATCATAAAACAACAACTGGCAGAGATTCCTGTCCGATTACATCCGATGGTACTACTACTACTAGTAGTGGTAGTCGAACAAGTAATCCTTTTCGTAGAACCGTTTCGACTAATTCCACTGTCAATTCTTCTTCGGTGAATATTAACCTGCCTAAAGATGTCAATCCAATTGTTGGTCCTATATGGTTTGTTGAATCAGTTAATCCGTTCACTAAACACGAAGAATGGATATTTACTGGAGAATATTGGAAAAGAGATTGGCGAAAATGTCCAGATTTGTATTAATTCAAGTCTATCCTTTGTTTTGTTTGCTTTATTTTGATTAGATTATGTCAATACTTGCACACACACACACACACACACAAGTTATCTGACATCTGTCCATTTAGTTCGATGCTTAATGGTATTATTTTTCTCACTTGTTGTAATTATTGTATTTTATTTTAGATGAATACAATTCACTGTTCTATTATTCTGTAAACACGAAAACTGAACACACTGTCAAGTTAGGCTTCTCTATTTTTCAAATCTTTATATACGATTACAAACAAGCAGATAGCAAATACTTCGTAATTATTGTGATTCATTCTCTATCTCTCTCTCTCTCCTTCTATCTGCCTGTATCTCGGAGATTATTTTTGCATCAAGTAGCATTTATTACTAATGCTTATCTCATCTTTCCTAGCCCGCTTATCAATCAACACTCACCCAGCCAACCACGCAGATACACAAACACGCAGGCAAACATAAATCAAACATTTATTTATCATATTTGACTCTATTTTGGTTTCGATGTAATAATTAAATAAATAAGCGAACTTACTTTTGAAGGATCCATGTTATCTCTACTTTTTTCTCTTTTCTACATACCATAATCATCATCATCACCTTTTTCGTTATTCATTTCGACGTTTTACTTTTCGCCTAAATTCAATTTCCCTGTGATAGAATAATCATCTTTTTCAATTTGTTATCAACATTTGGCTTATCACGAACATGCCATTCACACGTACAAACACATACACACGCATAAATATACAGAAATACAGCGAGAATCGTTAATCAAGATTACTCTTGTTTGTTTCTCAACTTCCGCGCTTATTTAAATCCTCTTGAAAGAAACTACTTCACTTAAGAACAGTCTAGCAACAAAAGTATTAGTAGTAGTGTTGTTGTGTGGACTGTTGAGTAGATTTATCAGGAATATGTACGCTCAGATTTATGAGATGTAACAAAAGCTAGGAGTCAACATTTTCAGTTAGTAGCTACCTAGTTAGAAGCCTTTATTTCTCGAATCTGCATCTAGCTTACGTTGTGGTCTAATCACCAATCAGAATAGTTTTGCTAACACTTTATCACAAATGTGGCTAAGAATCTGTAGATATTTTGCGTTCTCCTAACAAAAGTAGTCTGTTACCTAGTTTCTTGTCTGCTTTCGTTACATTTATCGTCTCTGCCTCCAGATTATGGAGGTCCCATGGCCTGCTGCTTTCGAAGGAGGAGAAATACGAAGCTTCTTACAGGACTTTCCAATATCCAATATCGTTTTTACGAGCTAGTATAAACCAATTTGATTTCTTTGTGCTCACCTCTTGATTGTGAGGTAGAGGTTCCTGATCTTCGGTAAACGTCTGCGTAGCTCGTCCCGCCACTCGACTGCTGTAGCTTTGGTTGACTCCAGAAGGAGTAGTGCAGGGATTAATTATATGTGGTTTGTAGAATGAGGTGTGTTAAGACTGTTACTACTGTGAATGGAGTTGATCCTTTCACCAGTTGGTCCTTCGGTATCGTCGTCAATAGAAAAGAGATAATAATAATAGATATAATTAGTGAAGGTATTCAGACTAACAGACAGAAAAAGAATAAGAAAACGTAACAACAGTCAGTCAACCGGTATATATATATATATATACCAGTAATAATAATAATAATAGGTGTAGTTAAAGCTGTCAGGAGAGTAAGACTGAAGAGAATGTAAAGAAGTAAAACGACCAGTTTAATTGTCTACCTTTGAATGGTGTATGCGATTTTAAGGGGATAGGCCATTTGGATGAAGTCCTTGTGTCGCTGCATGGTTGTCCAGCCTTCGCTTAAAGGCGTCCACAGATGGTGCCATAGCTACATCTGCTGGTAAGGAATTCCAGGGACGGCAAACCCGCAGGGAAAATAAGTGGGAGCGCACCCGGGTCCTTGCCCTCTGATGAGCTATCCTTCTAGGATTTCCAAGAGGGAGCCTATACCTACTCAATGGCAGAACACCTTTGTTTGGGTGATTTTGATCATTTGTTATTTTGTATGCAGTAATTAAATCCCCCCTAAGACGTCGGTGGCACAGCGGTTAGGATGCTCGCCGACCATGCACATGGTCCGGGGTTCGATCCCCGGCCGGCGCACTCCTTTACCTCTTTAAGCCAGAACTAAAAGCTGGTGAAGAGGAAAGGTTGGGCATGAGGCTAGCAACCCCATCCTGTAAAAATTAACCCTGCTACAGAAACTTCAAGCCCTTAGCTTGAAGCCCTATGTTCCACTGGGGAACGTGAAGGAATAAAAAAATAAGACGATGGTAACTTAGTGTGAATAGGCCTAATTTCTTCAGCCTTTCATCATATGGTTTATTTCGGAGACCAACCACTCCTTTTGTTGCCCGTCGTTGGACTATTTCCAAGAGGTTGGCGTCTCTTCTAAGCAGTGGGGGTGCAATGATATTATGCACTTCAAGATGCGGTCTGAGGTATGTTTTATACAACCTTAGAAAGAGCTCAGGAGTGAGTGCACCTAATTGTCTATGTGTAAAGTGTATGACCGCATATGCCCTCGCTACATCCCCCTTGTAATTTACGCTTGTGTCCATTTTCTCCGTTAGAACTAGACCTAAGTCACGTTCTGACGTTGAGCAGGACAAGCTTTCATTGCACAGAATGTAACTTGCATTCTGCAGTCTGCAGGTACGTAACTTCACTACTTTGCACTATTTCAAGTTGAAAGTAATGCCACTGGCCACCGCCCAGTCTTCCAGAAGCCTTATATCTGCCTGCAGTCTATCTGAGTCCTCCAGACACTTTATCGCCCTCCATATCTTCACGTCATCAGCGTATAGAAGAGTCGGGCAGCTTAGACGGCATGGTAGATCATTGATAAAAATCAAGAACATCAGTGGTCCCAGGATAGAACCCTGCGACACTCCTGATGACGAGCTGCGCCAAGATGATCGGACTCGATTGACCTTGGTGCAAAATTGCCTTTCAGTTAGGTAGTCCTTCAACCATGACAGAAGTGGTTTACCTTAACCTACCTGGCTTATTTTGTGTAGGAGAAGGTCATGGTGAACAGTGTCAAATGCCTTCTCGAAGTCTAGAAAGATCACATGGACCGGAACATTCATATCTCAGCATGATGTCCAGTCGTCCCAAGCTGATAATAAGTTATTATTACTGAATCTTGGTTTCAGTCTAATATGCTGGACGAAGAGATAAGCGCCGATGGGTACACACACTTTCAGTGTGACAGGAACAGGGATAGGGGGAAGGTTGCCTTACTTACCTTCTAAAGACACTCACTGTATTACAACTAGAAAATAGGGAACTCAACAACATGTACGACACTTTATGGGTCAAAGTACACCTCAAAACTGCTACAGTACCAATGGGATGTATTTCCAGAGGGCTTGGCATATTTAGTGGTTACGAGGCCCAACTTATCAATGTATTGCAGCAAGCGTCCGCTCTTCCATAAAAACATAAGACCATATGTGGGGACTTCAACCTACCCGAAATCAAGTGGAACTTGCCAACAGATCCAGAGAAATTTGACAAGCTCTTAGGCATACTGGATATTTTTGCCTGGAACAAACTGTCACTATCCCTACAAGGGGTGACAACGTACTAGGCTAAATATTCCGTAACAAAATAAATCCTCTCTAAATTTTAGAGGGTCCTGAATTTTCAAGTGATGACTACAAAACAGTGTTGTTTGCACTTCCGCTGAGTAGCGACACAGCGCATACGCCTACTTCACAACAAATTACATATAAGAACTACAGCAGGCAGACTAAGATTTCGCAAAATCACTGCTAAGACCTTTTAAATGGGGAGAATAATACTTCACTGGTGACATCTCAAGAGCGCTAAGCATCTTCTGCTAGAACTTCAACAGACGCCTAGATGCTGCCATTACACTCCAAATACTAAAAGTTCCCCTGCATAAAAGCCATTTATAAAGCTAAAAGATTGTATGAAATTTAAGGGATGCTCGACAAGTAACCTCAAAAGCATGACTTCGGCACGCTAGGTTCAAAACTTAACACTATTAGCTCTATCCCACAAACCATGATTCACGTGGGACGATTGAAGAACGCACCTCACCAGCCAGCCCTGCTAGCGTGTATGCTCTTATATAAATCCTAAAAAAGCTATTGAATCACAAAAGCCACGGTATTTTTCTCCTCATCTACAAAGCTAGGCTATACGGTAACTACTCAGAAATGTGTGAATCACTTAGCAAGGAATCTGAAACTAACTATTTTAAACCCACAATCCTACAACTCGGTATGCATTCTACTGATACGATGCGACTTCCCCGCTTACCCACATTAAGACAAGTGTCATTTCACGTAGATTAGTCCGCAATTGTTTTGCTAACGGACATTTGGCTACCTGTGTGTTACTGGGAATGCTTAGTCGGAGGCTCGTGGCATCGCCTTCTGAGTAGACCTGTTTCAGACGGCTGATACTGGCAGATTCTTCGCTGCCTCTTTTGTCTAGGATAAAAAATTTATCCATACGTCTAATGACTTTATATGGTCCATCATATGGGGTTCCAGAGGGCGACACAAGCAGTCACGACGAACAAATACATGTGAAGAATTTTTCAGACATGGACGAACAAAGCCTGTGGACTGTGTTCTGAAGGGAGCAGGTTTAACTGAACGCATTGCGTTTGTAAGCCTGTTGACGCATGAGGCGTGATCAACCGCTAGTGAGAAGCTCGAGGGAGAAACGAACTCACCTGGCAGCATTAGTGTCGTGCCATATACTATTTTGGCGGTAGTACGACCAGCATCGGTTATCAAGGAGTTTCGTATCCCTAGAAGAACTAACGGATATGATTCAGTCCAATGGGTATTGTCTGCAGCTGATAACCCAGCCCTCAACTGTTGGTTCAAAAGTTCTACTGCACCATTTGCTTGAGGATGGTAGGCTGTTGTTCTAAAATGCATACAACCAAGGATTCTAGTCAACACTAAGAATTAGCCACTTCCAAATTGCTGCCTGCGATCAGTTGTTATGGATGATGGGCATCCAAAACTTGCGACTGATAGTTCGACAAAGACGCGTGAGACTGTTTCAGCAGATTGATCCTTGGGGGGGTACTGCTTCAAACTACCGTGTGAAACGGTCAATCAAGATCAGTATATAAGTACACCTATGAGGTTCCGGCAGGGGTCCAACCAGATCTATATGAACGTGTTCGAAACGAGCATAAGGGATACGAAAGGTGCCAAGAGGGCTATTGGTGTGTCTTACTACCTTGCCATTTCGGCAAGCACATACGAGCCCATTCCCTTCATTCCTCATTATTACTGGCAGAAATGTCACATAGAATAGTGTCTCTTCCTTTGCTTAAGGTTTTATCGGCTAATTGCAGTTGTTTTCGACAAAAAATGTTGAAGCTCGGCATCTTCTTTTTGAAGACAAGTCGGTTTTGCAAGGTTTTTGCCATCTATTTGGACGAGGAAACAAATGCGCGATAAGGCGTCTGCCACAGTTTTTCTCACTCGGGATATATGGCGAATATCCGATGCAAACTGCGAAACGTAGTCCAGTTGTCATGATTCTTCAGGTGAATACTTACCTGAAGTTGATTTCAAAGAGTATGTAAGTAGTTTGTACTCGGTAAAAAATTACGAATTCATGACCTAACACTGAATGTCGAAAGTAGCGTGTGGCACAGAACATTGCCAGAAGTTCTCTGTCGAATGTACTGTACTTGGTTTCTGCCAGTTGTGGACGTCTCGAGAAAAAGGCGAGCGGTTGCCACTGTTTGTTGGCTTGT